AAAAAAAAATTATGAAGTTCAAGCAATGCAATCTGCCAGTAACTCCTCGAATACTGGATGGAGCAACCATTCTTGCTAAACAAGGAGACCGGTTGAAGGTGTCCCTAACATTTTCCTTTACATTTAAATGTACACACTTATACTTTTTCCTTCAATCATCCAGTTTTGTATAAATGCAACTGTAGTAGTGGATTATATTTTTCTTGAATAACAATTGCATTCTATGGCTGGATTCTAATCGAATCCTGATTGTTTTCTTTTTGAATCTGGATTTAGACTGGTGGACATGGCGATCAACTTCCCTAAGATTGGATTAGTTGTACARGGATCTCAAAGAAAGCATTGAATCTATAAAGCTCAAATTTCCCCATCCATTCTTCATCTCTTTTGGTAAGGTTTTATTGATTTTTTATATAGTCTTGAATACATTCTCTATTGAAGAATATGTTATGTGTTTTACTAAAAGAAACTCTCTTTGTAGTAGCGGTTATTTTATCGTTGACTGGATTTTTTGAAAACTTTCATCAATTAAAACTGGAATTTTTATCTAATATTGCTATGTTACCTTCCATTTGGTGTTACTTATGCATTAAACTCGAGGTTTCGTTATTGTCGAAGGCTTTAGGATTTCCCTTTTTCAAGTTTTTCGTATTGTTCTGTGTAACGTACCGTCATWGAAAATATACAATGTTCTTTGAATGAATCTTTTCATGCTCGTGCTCCTGATGTTTATGTCTTCTTGTATGTAGCTTGAAACTATCAATGAGATGAATGAGGATGTTTCTTTGGCCTTGTGCATTCTCAGTTACTGTCACAGTTAACTTATCTTCAAAGCTTCCTTTGGTGTCCGATTATAATTTGACTGGGATGGGTACATAAGATTCTAATTGGCTTTTAATATAGAAAAAGATGATGAATAAAGACTTGCTCTATACTACCAAATGCAAGGAGTAACTATAGGGGTTTAACCGACATTTAAACCTCATTTTAATAAATTCAAAGAAATAAACTGTTAGCGTTTTTCTWGATATCAAAGGTGTACAACTACCAAATCTGTTGCCAAGGTTTATATATGCTGAAGCGATGAGTCGCTATTAATATTGGCGAAAGATATAATGCAAATATGTGTATCTAATTAAATGATTCTTAGTGAATGGGTTTTCATATATATTGGCGAGAGATACAATGCAATATGTAGGGATGTACTTGAAATAACACTATAACTATGAATGTSTKGCTCTTTGCYATAGCACATTCCCATCCATAAGGAACTTGTTCATGTGTGCTGCTAAACAGTTGGTTTAAAGTCTGCACAAAGCATGAAACAGGTTTATTACTGGAGTTGTTTGCTCCAACAATATTTTTTATTCAGAAAGAACAAGATTGGATTTTAGTCTTATGGTCTGTTGGAGTTCATTTTGAGGAAATMAAGTATGTAACTCATTTACTTGTAAGACTTTATCTTCTTTTCTTTTCTTTTCTGCTCTGTAATATTCCGTTTCTTGTACTAACTGGAACAAACTGAATAATTGGTTTTTTTATGCACAACTTTAAGATTTTAGTCCACCAAAACGGTATCATATAATAACAACTTACYTTGTAAGCGCTAACCGTGGTAAGAGTTGTCGTTATTACTTACCTTGTAAGACTTTTGGTCCTTGCCTCACTCTTATTGGGTAAGATTATTGGTCATTACCATGTTCATCCGATAAAGTAGTGTGACTTGGTAAGTGCTTACCTGGGTAAGCGTTTGGTAAACGACCCCTTAGATGTAGTTCACTGCTTTTATTACTGGCCAACTGTTATACACGTGGGGGTTTTCAACACTGATGCACGAATGATGCGACTGTATGCTGCTGGTTCTTGATTTTTTTTAATGGACATGGTTCTTCTTGCTTTTCTTTGTGGCATATTTTGCAGGATCTTTTTGATATATTTTGTTGGTTCCTTTCGGGAATAGATGTCTTCWTCTYTGAGTTGGAGAGGTTGGAGCTTTCTATGCACAATGTAGAAGGTAACCATAGACACAATCTAGGAGAGTTGTGAACCACTGCAAGATGGTTAAGAGTAAGCGTGTCCATGAAAAGTGGAGTTGTCCTGACATGGAATTTTTACAAAAGTATATTTTTTATGCTCAAGGCCGTAAATCTCTTGATTTGTCTTGATTTAATGTTAAGTGTGCATAAATGTAAAAGATTATCAAGATATTGGATGTAGATGTCTAAGTTAATTAGGTGTTTATAACCGGAGTCTTTTGTTGTAGAAATCATTAACTTATGATATAATTATTTTGTATTCATGTATTGTAATTTGTAAACGTATGCAACTTTTATTTTGTCGAGAATACTTTTCTATATGACCAATTTCATTGTCCCATTTTGTGTAGTTCGATTAAAATTTGATATGCTTTTGGACTGACTTATGTTATGTGCATGACATTATTTCATATGTGGTTTGGTTTGAAAAAAAAACCTCAAACTGCATAAGTTGTTTGGTTTGCGGTTTTTGACTCTAAATCAGACCCCACATCGAAGACTTCTATTTCTAGCGTTCTTCGGTGTTTTTTCTGTGCAACGACATCTTTCACTTTCCAAGACCATATAATCAATTTATACATCTCGAAACAAGCATTAGACTGCACTTGAATAACAAGAGACTTGATTTAATTGAGGTATATGATTCAAAGATTGTGTAATTCAATTGCWAAGGATTACCTCAAGACTAATAGATGTCTATGGTRTTTATATCGATTTTTRTTTTGATRCATGTTGTACACRACGATGAGAGTGTTGAATGGTATGATGTCGTAGAACAACATTTTAAAACTTTTGCAAATGGGGTAACATAATGCATGTTTTGACTTATACCTCTCCATGGCCTGGTATAATCATTCAAGCAATCAACTTCTTTTGGTTAATATCATTCGGTAGTGAGAATATTGCTCGCTCTTGCTCTTTCTACTGTGTAGCTGATCATCCAAAATCAGATGAGTTTTCTTCACTCCATCAAGGTAACACTCTAAGGAAAGTTTACTCGGAACCAACTTCACATGATGTTGTCCTGAGGGATATCATGCAACTTTTCATTTACATTTATTCGAATTTTACATCCCGCTGCATTGCGCGGGTACACAACTAGTATATATATATATATATATATATATATAAAATATACAGATTTGCCGCGCAAAACATCATGATGTCACAGGGGCTCCTAAGGTTTAAGCCTATATGTTCACTTTGGTGATTTGGAACATCATAATCGACATTAGGTGAGTCTACTGATTTGTAACTATAGGCTTTTGCTTCTTCCGGTAATCAAACCCCTAAAACGACTCACAATCTCAGTTCAGGTACAAATCTTTCTGATAGCAAGATTATGCAATAATATTTTTGGATTTTGTTTCTTCTCATAGAACCATCATATTCTCATATTTATAATTTACTATTTGGAAACTTCCCCTATGGAAAAAAAGAAGATATATTTTGAAATATTAATCAACTGGAATAAGATAAGAATCACCAATGCAGCCATAGATAGATAGATAGACACCTAACAGTGCAAAACCTGAATAACAGAAATATGAAGATCGATGGATGCTAGGATGGTTTTCTCTTGATACATGTTTTTTTTTTCTTTTGATTGATCACTGATCAGGTGTGTTGCTTAGCTGTATATATGGTTATATTTGATTAAGACATAGTGTTTATAATGATATGGTAACTTTAAAGTAATTGTTAAAAGTGACATGGCACATAAGAAACTTGTTCATAATTTCATGGTAGTGGATTAATGTAGTACTTTGCTGGAAAGATTTGCAATGACAATGTGTTCAACAAGTGTTGTTCTCACTTAAAAAAGAGACAAGTATTGGGTTGTTTCCACATTCTGTTTCTTGTAAACTCCATAAAATATTTTCACATTAGTTATGATTCTATTTAACAGGAATGAAAACTACAAGTCAAAAATATTTATCAGACAAATAATTGAATGTGTTCACAGACTGAAATCTCTTAGACTTTGTTTACAAGTGAATCACGGCCTTGAACAGTAGTGGGATCACTGCCGATAAGGTCAGATGATGTTCCGATGAGTGTAAATTGGTTTGTTGAATGGATGGTTTATTATGTTGATGCAGGATTAGCCCTTCGAAGACCTGGTTCGTCCACGTGCACCTCGCCCAACGTACCATGAACTGAATTGATGGATAGCAGCAGCAATATCTAGAATCAGCATGGTCAATGTTATACCTAATTCAATTATTGAATTTCTGGTATTGGATGTGGTCCATCATGTATCATCTTCTTTGTCTTCTTGTCATGTACCAGTTGATATTTCATGTGCCACTGCTTTGAATTTGATCCTGTCCTATTTAAGTTCTAAAGAGAGAAGTATGGAAAGTCTGGGAGGAAACAAAGATTAATACCAATAAGTACATATTTTATGTTGAAGTACCAAAGAAATAGACGGATAGTCAATGATCTGTAAGTACCTTTAGTAAAGGGTGTTGTGATGTGTCACTGGATATACAATCGAGAAAAGCATCAATGGAGCAAACAACATGCCTCTGTGTCTCAACATCTGTACAACACCATCTCCATCCTCCCTCATCATTTTGCTGAGCACGACAAGTAGGATCGCACCCATGTCATATTAAGAATTGACCATGGTGCGTTGATCCTTGGGAAATGTTATGAACAATGACGTTGTAGAAACATCCATTCGTGGCTACCTTACCACAAACATTAACCTGCAGAAATAAATGCACATGTCAACCAAGATTGAACAAACAGAAACAACCAAGCTCTAGAAATTAACTGTGTGCACGGATTCACAAGAGCAACTCATGTTGAAGAAAGAAATTTTGGGGCCACTTAAGCAACACGATTGTAGCTAAATCGGTTTCTGTATTAGCAGATCTAACAAGAATTTTTTTCTCATTTAGATCATAGACTACACATCAAGGAACCACCTTTCGCTATTCGAATATGAAGAAAACAATTCCAAATCGGTTTCGAAATCAAATCCGACAACGACTTTGAAAATGAAATCCGATTACTTGCATCGAGTAAAAATCGGTTGCAATCTAAATCGATTCAACAAAAGGAAGAACGAAAATCTGAATTGGATAAAGCGAATTCATTCCCCACTCAGATGTCAGATCGATCAATAAAACTATCGAGAAGAAAAAACCGAATGCTTACAGTGATACGGAGGAGCCAATGGTGAGCGGCTGTTGAATTGTGAGGGCGCACATTTTCATCCATGGAGTCTGCGATGAAATCAACGTAAAATGCAGCAGTGAGTTTAAATAGTGGGATGGATGCCAGAAAGATTTTAAACCCTAATCGAGCACTTGTGTTTGATTGGTTAGTATTTGATTTGTTCCGAGCCCTCGGATCGCGATCCCTTATTAAATGCGCAATTACCATTTTCTTTTTCCTTTTTTAAAACTTAAAATAAATTTGATATTTGGTTATATTTTTAAATATACGGGTTTTTTAGAAATTTTTAACCCGTTTGAGCAAGACCTTATGAAATCATTTAACTTATATTCCGATTGTAATATATCAACACCTATATGCATGCGTAATAGCAAATTGATTTAATAGATTCTTTTTAAATGAACGGAATCAATGTAGTCTCCCCAAGAACGTACTTCGACCTTGTATATTCCTTTCCATTTCGAACCCTTGCATTGATTTTATCTATAGATAGATCATGGAAAAAATAGGAAACACTTTAAAGTCTAGTCTGAGAGTTTTAATATGAGTCCCGATAATCAGGACCGATATCATATTTATTAGCAATGATGATTAGGAACCAGGAAGTGGGTTATGAAGACCCATGTAGTGGCCACGGGGGTTAGTCTTACTAACCAAGTCTCTTTGGTTTTTATTGGAGATTAGGATGGGTTGGTCCTAGATTTTGTAAATAAGCATAGATCCAAACATTCCCATGACATCATCATGAACATAAAGTATAATTCTATATGTATCCCTATTTCCAACCTAGAAGGAAATATTCTGCTTTTACTATGATGAAAAATTTTCGATCCAACCATTGTTCCCAAAAATTTCTACAATAGCTGGTAAATTAAAATTGGAATTGGCACAATTAGCAGAATTGTATTGATCATGTCCATGGATTAACGAAAATGATATTGTCCCAAAAAAAGTCAGAATATGGTGCTTAGGGGGGAGAAATTCGTCACTATAAAAAGGATCTCCTAAAGGAGCCGCCCCTCTACACCTATCCCGTTTTTTGTTCTGGTTTATCTACTTCTATCCATGTAGGGAGGAAAAAAACGTCTGTACCAATTAGTTATTAAATACCATTAACTATATGTGTGCTATCAATATCTTTACGTGTCCACAACCGGCCCGAAAGGGAAGGGCCTTTCCCTGTGGGGGTAGGAAAATCATCCACTGAGCTATTGAGTAACAACGGAAGACTCGATCTCGTTATGATTCAACCAGAGGTCGTATAATTTATCGACTCCAAAACATGATACTTGGGCTAAGGATAAGTTGGTGATTTTTCTAGGAGTTCAGTAAAGTCCCAATATCATAGACAAGGCTGGGTTTGATAAATCATGTATCCTCCCATTTTTGGATCATTTGTTTTAAAATTCCCGAGTATGTACTAAGAATTGGGATGAGATGTGATATAAAAGTGTATATTTGTGAAAAACGACTTCAAATTCCTAGCAAAACAGAGAAGTTTATTGCGATATGAAATATGTCAGGTTGTAAATATAAATGGTAATTCAATTGCGGCTACAACAATCATAGATATTTCTATGAATTACTTTCCTAGGCAACGAAGATAACACCCAAGGTTATTTACGCATATGGTGCTAGTGAGTTTTACGAAGAAAAAACTTTCCATTGTCCACACAGAATACTTGAAACCCATTTTCGATACAGCAAGACATTCTATGTTTTTGATTGCCTCATTAGTTTTTCGAAATCCAACATCTGGAAGCAAGGATGCATGGCTAGGATCACTGTCGTAATTCATAAGATCCCAAGCCTTCCAATCTGGTGGAGCTTATCTATCTATCATTCCAAAAAAACACTTCATGAACTACACGTCTTGTCCTGTGTTCAATTCTCATTTCACACCGGAATAAGTCAATAAGTTTGTATTATGAACAATCCCAAACACCACCTAATTACGACGTCTTTATTAAGAATGTTTTATTTTTTGGTCTTATAAACTAAATCCTACAAATTAAGTCTTATAGAACAAGTTATTAGGACACTTAAGAATTTGGTGGCGTCCTATTATCTGATTTTGTTCACTGATTCGCTGGAAACAAAAAATCAAAGGTAGATTGACTATCTTGAATTCGTCTAACTAACTGCAGATATACATAATCAAATATTGGATAAACATCTCATTTTAAATATAAAAAATCTAAAATATAATTAAGATAATCATTGAGTTCTAACAGAATACTTAATTATTATCTTTATAAAATATTATATTATTAAACAAAAATAAATTATTTCATTATTAAACTTAAATTAAATTATAATAAAAAAATTAAAGAAATTACATAATTTTTTTAAATAACTGATTTGATATTAAAATTGATATATTTTTTTACTCTTAAAAAATCACTTTTTTATACGTAAAATACTATTTATTAATGCATATTATTTAAAACTTAAGATTGCAAATAGATTGTTTGTAAGTTAACTTATTAAAACTTCACATCTGAATTCGTGTAACTAACTGCAGATAAACATAATCAAATACATGATAAATATCGCATTTTAAATATAAAAAATCTAAAATATAATTAGGATAATCATTGAATTCTAACAGAATACTTAATTATTATCTTTATAAAATGTTATATTATTAAACCAAAAATAAATTATTTCGTTATTAAACTTAAATTATAATAAAATAAATAAATTAAAAATTACATAAAAAAAGATTTGATATTAACATTAATATATTTTTTTTTCAAATTTTTATGATATCTTCAAATTTATATTTTATTTAAAAATAAAATCATTATTGTTTTCTTAAAAACACATAAAATCGTATTATAACATCGACAGAGACAAAGAATAAAATAGAATATTAAAATCGAGATATATCTCGCTGCATTGAACGAGTACTTTTCTAGTGTGTATATATATATATATATATATATATGTGTGTGTGTGTGTGTGTATTGTTAGTCTCAAAGGGGGATGAAAATAAACAGAAAATAATTGTAAAAAAAGATTGAATATAATTACACAGACTTTTTTCAACTTTTTAATTCTTATTAATGTATATCAAAAATTAAGACTAGGAGAGATACAAAAAATTGTTGCAAAAGATAGGAAAGGAAAAAACTAACCTAAACAATCTTACAATGAAAAGAATTTACAAGAACAACACAAAAAGTTTTTAAAAGAAAATGAGATTTTTTTTCTAAGATAGTTATTAAGTTGAGGTCATTTCTTGTGTAAATGCTTTGTATACAAATGCCTATGCCTTTAACATATAGGCATAGTCAACATCATGCTAAGATGGTCATTTCTTTTGTCAACAATGTCATGTCCCAGGCGGCTACAAGTGTAGTTCAAATGATCTTGTTAGATGATGTTGGCTTGGACTACATATCATATGCATCGCCACCGAGTGGTTCCTTGCACTACATGGTAGAGTTTTGGGAAATATGGTTGATGCATAGCCTTTTACTGCGTCTGTTGAACCATATCATCCGATGCTGTCCTGTCCATACGGTTAGATGATGTTGCATATTGCAGATCATGTGATGTTGTGCAGTTTTCTTCCAAACATGCAGCAAGAATGCAAGATGCTTATTATGTTAGTCGTGTTCTTCGTGCATGTTCTTCAATAGTAATACTAACTCCCTCTGTTCAGAAGATGCCATGGTCAATCTTGCCCCAGAAGGAGTTTTTCCATAATGCTTCCCAGGTCAACCTCTCTCGACTTCAAAATCAAGATGTAAAGATGTGCTACGTCGATATACGTCGACGAGGATTAACCTGTCTATTGAGCATTACTTCCAATATCCTATTAAGATTTGAACATGGTGCATCGATCCTTGGAAATGTTATGAACATTGACGTTGTAGAAACTTCCATTCATGGCTACCTTACCACAAACATTAACCTGCAGAAATAAATGTACATGTCAACCAACAGAAACAACCAAGCCCTAGAAATTAACTGTGTGCACGGATTCACAAGAGCAACTCATGTTGAAGAAAGAAATTTTGGGGCCACTTAAACAACACGATTGTAGCTAAATTGGTTTCTGTATTTGCAGATCTAACAAGATTTTGTCTTGTCATTTAGATCACAGACTACACAGCAAGGAAAAATTCAACAAAACCTTTCAGTGTTGGATTCTGAAGAAAACAATTTTAAATCGGTTTGGAGATCAAATCCACCAATGATTTTGAAAATGAAATCTGATTACATAATCCTTTGCAATCTAAATCGGTTAATGATCAAAATTAATGAAAGAAAATCTGGATCGGATAAGATGGACCAAAAAACTAGCGAGAAGAAAGAACGAAGGCTTACAGTGATATGGTGGAGAGAATGGTGAGCGGGTGTTGGATTATGAGGGCGCACAGTTTCATCCATGGAGACTGCAATGAAATCGATGTAAACTGCAGCAGTGAGCAGTGAGTTTATATAGTGGGATGGAGGCCAGAGAGATTCTTAACCATCATCTGTGTACTTGTTTTTGATTGGTTGGTATTTGATCCCTCGGATCGCGATCCCCCTTGCTAGCGTTTTATTCACCATCGATTTCGACCTAATCTATAAATGCAAAAATTACCATTAATACCACATCCCACCAAACTCCAATCGCCCCTTGAATCTCTCACATGACGGACTGCTCCAATATATCATCCAATGAACCCCATGTGCATATCTACAATTGATATTTCTGAAAAGTTTAAATTTTTTGACCGTTTTAAGTATTGTGCGGTCATCAAACATTTATCGTCGACGCCCGATTAAAAAAAATTGTGTACGCATCCAGACAACAACTTCCATTAAATGAATGAAGTTTGAATTAATGCCACTTCCATGAAAACACGCAACATATCTCTTCTAGAAATCTGATCTCAGAAGGTAATGACTTTTGCTAAAATTTTGTTTTCAAATATTCAAATATATTTATTTTAGAGTAAATTAAATACAAGAAACAATCATGTGAAACTCTGGTTGTAGATAAAATAGTACAGGTTCACGATGACGTACCATATTAGATCATAAACAATGGTATTACTTGTTGCTGCAAGGAACAGTTA